CACACACACACACACACACACACACACACACACACACACACACACACACACACCCCTGATCAAATCTGGATAAGGCTGGTGGATTGTATCTTGTCTACTTCCTGGTTGTGAAATTGTTCTATAGACATTTGAGAAGGGAATCAGGACCTCTCTGTACTAGTCTTATGACTGCATGTGAATCTACAATTATATATATTTTTTAAAAAGTAAAAAAAAAAAGGTGGGGCTTGTTGCCTTTTGAGAGCCACTTAGGTTGCCTACGTAATAAACAAGAGTCCCTGTTTAACCCTCCCCTCCCACTTCTGGCTGGTAGTTTACACCCAGGGAACAGGGAAGGGACCCCCTCCCGGAGAATTCTGACTTCTGTGCGGGGAGCTGCCAGCCGCACCCCTCCCCGAGCTTCATTGGCATTTCAAGTGGGAACCGACTGGGGAGAGTCCCTGGGTTGGCATTTGGATTGCCTGATGCGCAGGGACTGTACTCAACTAATTAAGGGCCCTTGGAGTACTGAATTAGACTAAGTGTCACTCAAAGACAGAAACCAACAATTTCGTGTCTTCCCGCAGGGCTCAATCACAGGGCCTCGTCCTAAGGAAGTGCTCCCTCCATGGGGCTGAGACTAATGGAGCCTGTGCTGTCCCAGGGACAGAGGAGATCAGTGACTCAAGTATTGATTATTTGAACTAAAAAATGGAGTTAGATACTGAGTAAATATTTGCTCTTGCCTGAATTATGTACTTGACTTCGGCCATGAAGATCTTGTTTTATGTTTGTCAGAGTAATTAGCCCAGTATAAGGTGTTTGATGAATACTCATTGATTGATTGATAACAATACCCAAACATTTCTTATTCTTACTATGTCCCAGTCCCGGTGTCAGACCTATGGCACGCCTTGTCTTAGTCACTCACAACCACCTCCACAAATGGGTACGTTGTCACCCACACTTTACGGGTTGGAGAACATGAAGCCTGGAGATACTGTTTTACTTGCTTAAAGTCACACAGCTGGTAAGCGACAGAGCTGGGATGTGCTGCTTTGCCCTCAATATGGGCTCTCAGAATTTATGTAGAGGGAGAAAATGGCAGTGGAAAGGGTGCATGCTTTAGGGATAAAGTGGCTCAATGACAGGAATTAGAGATACCAGGAAAACAGAATAGCTTTGGGGACATTAAAATGATTTCCAGAACCCTCTCTGGCAACCTCCCCTCACTTAGTTGCTCTGATTTCTCCTCTCTCGCTCCTGGTCTAGCCCCAGGAGTCGGACTGCCTCTCCGATGCAGGTGTCTGCTCCCTCGGGTGGAAAAAGGGGGTGGGGACCATCAGGTGCCTTCGATTTCCTGACTCTCGGATCATCACCAGGACTCCTGCCCTCAAGTCATTGCCAGGGCTGGGAGGGGCACTGTAAGGTGGTCTGACTGCCTTCTGGTGAGCAGAAGGACCAAATCTCCAGGACACATGTACCTTCTCCTCCGAGGCTCTCTCAGTGAGAACCTTGTCACAGCAGACCAGCTCTCTCCTCTCTCAATTTGCTGACTGAATTCTCCCAGGAACTGGACAAATTCTCTCCTGCCTTAGCAGAAAGTGCTCACTCAGCCTTCTGTGGGCACCAAGAACATCTAGTGCCTCTATCAACATAACCTCCCTTAATGCAATGCTATCCATTCAACATAAATGTTGTCTCACTGTGTGCCATGCACTGGATAAGGCATCTGACTTGAATAAATTGTCCAGTTAGCTCTGTCTTCTCCA